CTCTCTCTCTATCTCTATTTCGATGATGACCACCACCGATGACTTTTCTCTAATCAATTCTCTGTTCCAGTGACCAACAAAAGCAATTTTGGTAGGGTGGTTTTACCCACTATAAACCCTCGATTTTATTTTTGGGTTCTATGATTTGATTTTGATTTCAATACAAAAGAGACTTTTTGTGGGTTTGATTTGCTGTGAGTGTAATCATTTCCTTCAACAGATCGATTGGAAGGAGGAAGGAGGAAGGTGGAAGGAGGGTGGGAGGTGTGGGAGGAGGCGAGACTGTTGAAACAGCTGTTGACTGTTTAAGGAGGGAGGAAGCGTGGGAGGAGGTGTGGAAGGTGGAAGCAGCTGTTGACTGTTGAAGTTTGAGGAGAGGGCAAAGATGGAAGAAGACCCCTCTGAATCATTTAGGGGAGCCCTAAACACTAAATCGTTAAGAGCCTTTTGTAACCATTAAGAGGTTCTCTTTTTTTTGCCAAACAACCCTTACCGATTAAGAGGTTGGCTCTTAATGTCACCATTAAGAGCCAAACAAACAGCCCCTTATTTACTCAAAAAAATTCAAAAACTTATAATTCAAAATGAGAAAGTTCAATAATTAATTCATTCCAAAAAGTAGTCTAGAAACTTAATCATTTAAAATTAGAAAATTCGTTGTGTTTTATTAAAAACTTTGTCCCATAAATTTTGACAAAGTTTTTTTTTATTAACCTGGATGTCCAACCTACTATGCGAGCCGACTTGCAGATAGACCGAAGTCACCGTATTAGAACCTCCATGGCCATAAAGAGATTTTTATTTCTTCTTGGATTTGAACTTGTGACATCCTGATACTTTTGACCTTTGAAGTCAAGCTCAAATCAATCAGACATCTTTTTTTTTTCCTAGTTAAATTTTGACAAAGTTAATATACTCATTAAAGTTTACTAGAAGCGTACTCGCACAATGCAGCGAGATACATCATGATTTTAATATTTCATTTTATTATTTATCTCAGTCGATGTTATAATATGGTTTTATGTGATTTTGAGAAAACGATGATGTTTTTATTTTTGAATAAAATATATGTTTGAAG